CGCGAACTGGACTGCAGGAGGCCGGCTGGGTCAGCGCCCCGGGTCCCCTCCCTGCCTCCCTCTCGCTCATCCACAGGACATGCCCTCCCGCCAGCTCCCTTCCCCTGAGGAAAGCACAGCAAGTTAGGGACATCCCTCTATTTTACACGTAAGGAAACTAAGGCTCAGAGAAGTGTAGTCATTTGCTCACGGTCACACAGCTCTGGGGTGGATGACTCGATTCGAGTTCTAATGTGTCTGACCCCAAAGTCTGTAGCCTACACATTGCAGCCAACGTGAAAACCCGGTTCTCTGTGCCAGACCCCGCTGGCAACATTCATTCATTCATTTCCTGGATGCTGGGTCCAGCTCCAGTACTGGGCACCCAAGAATGGGACAGATAGGACCCCTGCCTGGTTTAGGCCAGGCAGTCTGGTGATACAGGTGCCTCCCTCGCCCCAGCAGGAGCACCCATCCTGAGCACCCCACAGAACTCACCAGGGAGCGCTGATCATAGCTCATCCTCCCCAGAGACATGACGCTGCTCTTGCGGGAGTCCAGGGCCACCAGCATGGGGTCTGGCTGCAGGGAGAGGCGGGCAGCGGGGTCTGCAGCCCCAGAGGGGCCCAGATGCCCACCCAGTGGGAGACTGGGGTCCAAGTGCCCATTAGGGGTCATGGGGATTGGGCAGAGCTTGAGATCTGGAGAAGTGAGGTGGAGACAGAGAGACAGACAGCAGATAGACAGACAGAACAAGAGCAAAGGAAGCCATGAGACAAAAACAAAACAGATGCGGACGTAACAGAAGCAGAGAGCTTTGCTGGAGTGACTTCCTGGTACAGGAAGTCTTCCAGGTGCACCCCATCTCAGGTGGCTCCCCGCCTCCACCTTGCCTGCAGGGCTTTTTCTTGTGTGTGCACAGAACCCCTGGCATCTGTGTTCCGGCCAGGCTGCCACTGCAGCCAGCAGGGCACCCCACTCCCATGCCCTACACAGGAAGCAAGGCAGAGACTGTCTGCCTGGGTTGCTGAGGAGTCGGCTTGGGGTAGGAAAGGCTTGTCCCAAGCTGTCCACTGGATGCCAGGAAGGACCAGAACCTGGGCCACGTTCTAAGCAGTCCTGAACCACTGGGAAAAGAAGCAGGTGGACTTCTGCTACTGCCGTGGCTGGAATCCAGGATGTCCGTGAATGCCCTGGCCTCTTCTAGATGTCGCATTTGTTTACATTATGGACATGAACAACCAGCCACAGAGAATAAGCTGGCCTGGAGCCTGGGCAGGAAGCCCTGTGCCGCCTTGGGTCTCTAGGGAAGGCTCCTGGCCCCCAGGTGACCAGTAGAGACCTATTTACCTCCGCTGCTGTCCAGGCCCTCCTGGAGTTTGTCCAACTCCTCCATGTTGGATGAGCTCCGGTCTTCATCTGAGTAGGAGCGGTTGGCATCACCCTGGGAGATGGGTCCATGTTGAGACAGGTCAGCTCAGCCCTTTCCACCTTTCCTCCCTCTCTGCCGCCTGAAGTCTTCAATGGTGTGTCCATTCCCATTTTACAGATGGGGAAACTGAGGCTCGGAAGTTAATGAGGCTACAAACCCCCACCTGCCCAACCATAACAATCCCCCCACCAAAAGAACAGAAGGAGAAGGACTCAGAATCCCAAATCCTGGGGAATTCAAAATCTCAGGGATGGAGAAGTCTAGTCCTTCACCCCCAAGAGAGCTGGGGATCCCAGATGCAGCCCTGTTTGCATTCTTCCTGTGATGGGAAGCTCGCCACCCCATTGACACTCTCCCGTGGGGATGTGTCGCCTGCCGGATTGAATTGCAGCCCTCCCCCAGCCAGGCCCCTTCTCCCCTGCCCTATGTCTTGCAGGCCCTGTGGGGATGCTCCTCCCAGGGCTGCGGTCACCTCAGCCTGGAAGCCCTCCACCAGGATGGCCACCAGCAGGTTGAAGAGCACATAGTTGCCGAAGGTCATGAGAGCAACAAAGTACAGGGAGGCCCAGGGGGAGGTGGAGGCCATGCCATTATAGAGGACGACGTTCCAGTCCTCCTGGGTGAGGATCTGTGGAGGGGGACACAGTTGGCCCTGAGATCCCCCAGCCCAGGCCCAGCCTCTGAGCCCCCTCTGTCTATGCGGAGGAGTTGAGGTGGACAGGCTCGTTGCCCATAATCGACTCCCCTGAAACACACCAACACATTGCTGCCCCTCACCTGGAACACCGTGACGATGGCCCACAGCAGAGAGTCAAAGTTCTTCCTGTCAGGGACTGTGTCTCCCGTGTCGGTGCGGAGGCTGAACTTGCAGCCAAAGATGTGCATCCCAAGGATGCTAGAGGAGGGACAGAGGCAGCTCCAGGGACTCGAACACCCCAAGCTCTGCCAGCCCACCTGTTTCCTTCCACAGCCCAGTCAGCTGGGGCAGGGGCAGTATTGGTCCCGTTTATAGAGGGGAACACTGAATTTCAGGGGCGGGACCTGCCCAGAGCCACAGGGATTGAATTGTGGGGCCGGGGTCTGCACCTGCATCTGGGTGGCTTTGTCCTGGAGAGGCTCAGCCAGCCACGCTGGCAGGGCTGGTCCCCAGGACGGGCAGGGCTCACCTGAAGATGAAGATGAACAGCATGAGCAGCATGCAGAAAGTGGCCACGTTGTCCATGGTCTTCATGAGCACCACCAGCTGGCGCCGCAGCGCGGGCATGAACCGCACCAGCTTCAGCACCCGCAGCAGCCGGAAGGTCCGCAGCACCGACAGCCCGCCGTCCGCCTGCCCCACAATCTCCCAGATGCTGTGGGCGCAGCGGGAGGCCAAGAGGAGAGGAGGGCAGAAGAGGAAGCGGAGGACAAAGACACAGCTGCCATTCGTTTATTCGTTCACCCATCCATCCAATAAGTACTGTACTGAACGATGGTATGTAGCACCCCGGAATCAGAGCCTCTTAACCCAGAACCCACGGAGCCCCCAAGAAGGCTACAGCAAAGATCTAGGAAGCCCAGGGGAAACACTGTCCTCTTTATGAGATGTGATATTTCTCTTGATCATGAATGTACATAATGAACCACAGAGAATTAGCCACGCCTATGGCTTTGTGGGCAACTGATATCTTCCTGTCATAAAACAGTGGGTATAGATATTTTGAAATACTTTTACGCATATGCTTCCTTTGGAATGATGGTCACTTCACAACCCACTGCTATATCTTGCTACTTGATGCATTGATCTAAGAGTCCATATATTGCCAAGTCATGAATTTTTTAAATGTTTGGATAACTGTGCTTCAGTGTGATTGTTTCCTCTGCCATCTCCCATCTCACATACTTAAGTCCTGGCCAAGGTCAGGGCATTAAATCCCCCTCCTCTGCTGCAGGCAGGAGGGGGGATGGATACCTGATGATGACGATGATGCTGTCGAAGATGTTGTATGGGTTCCGCAGGTAATCGAAGAGCCCGAAGGCCGCCAGCTTCAGGATCATCTCAAGGGCGAACATGCTGGTGAAGACCACATTGCAGATCTCCAGGATGTTGGTCAGCTCCTCGGGCTGCAGGGGGAAGGGGGTCTGTGACCCTGGCAGATCTGTGTGCTCCCTAGAGCTCACCCTGTGACCTTGAGCGCCTCTCGTCTCTGCCACTTCCGTATCCTGAGAGGTCCCCCGGGGTGGAAGGGCTGACTTCCCACACATCTGGAAAGGATGCTGGGTCATACCGAGAAGAGGCAGCACAGCACCCATCTCACAGATGGTCCAGCCATCTCCCCCTGGGCCTGGGAATAGAGGACAAACACCGGGCACAGCCTGACACACAGAACACCGCCACAGTGGTGCTCAGAGAGGACACAGAAGACAAGGGAACTGTCCAAAGTCACCAGTGAGTTAAAGGGACAACAGCTTCCCTTTGCCCAATCCAGCCACAGACCTCCCTCTGCCCCTGCAACTGTTTACCAAGGGATCCCTGGGTTGGAAACCGGTCATGATGGGCAGAGGTGGCTCCAGGCCTGATTTGGATGTTAAGTGGCTGTGTTACCCTGGGCAAGTCACTTTCCTGCACCTCTGAGCCTTTATTTTTTATCCACCATCCAGGGTAGACACATGGCCACATCCATTCCCAGCCCTTGCTAAGATCCCAAAGGGCTCACTCCTCGCTCCCCTCTGCAGTTCCCTGCGGGCCAGGCAAAGAGTGCACAGGGGCTGGGCACTGACCCACGCTAGACTCTATAGTGCTGTCCCATGACATCACCCTGAAATTACACCCCGACTCACACACCCATGCATTCTTTCATCCCTGCAGTACTTCCACAGATCTCCCAAGCACCCACCATGCGCTGGCCGCTATGATGGAGAAGTTCACCTTCGGGTGACAAAGTCCCACAGAGCACACTAACGAGCCACCAGTCCCTGCCAATGCCAGAGAAGCTAAGCGCGCTTTGGGGGACAGTAGCAGCAGGCCCCGGAGGACTCCTGGAGGAAGGAACATCTCAGCAGAGACCTAAGAGTAGGAAGAGAGTCGCTGACAGGGAAGAGTGAAGGGGATCGTGGCAGGCCATCTCCTACCCGGCAGCACCCTCTAGTCCCTCCCCTGAGCAACGGGGAGCCTCAGAGGCCTGACTTTGATTCCATGTGGCTTAAAAGGGGAAGAACAAATAAAATAATCCAACCACCAGCTTCCCACCTAGCGCCTGGAAAATCTAATAAAACTGCCAGCTCCTCTCAAGCCAGATAAAAGAAGGCCCCATTTCCATCTGTAATTACATTTGACTCACAAAGTGCTCCCAAAAGGGAGCGGGACCCCGAGCGGGGGCTCAGTGGAGAGGGCTCAGATGCTGCTCCGAGCTGCCAATTTCCCAGCCCACCCAAACCGCGTCCACAGAGATGAAAACGGTGGACACTGACAGTTGGCAATGGTGATCGCCTGGCTCTCCGCCACACACGCTTCCTCCGTCAGCAATCAGCACAGACCCACTGCTCTCCCGGAAAGGTCACCCGCTCGCCTCCCTCCTCCCCTGCAACAGCTGTTTCTCCAGGCAGCGCACACCTGTTAATCTTTTCCTAATGGACCATCCATCACTCCCAAGAGCATTTTTTCTGGGAGCAAGACAGGCTGGAGAGACAGACAGATGAATATAGACACAGCAAGGGCCAGGCCAGGGAGGGAGGCGTGGGAAGACACAGGCAGCAATGGAGCGGGATGGACAGAGAGAGCCTGAGAAGAAAGATGGACATATAGACAGCTCTGGACATGGTGAGAGCCAGAAAGTGCGAGACGAACGGGCAGGCAGACAGTGGAAAGGCCCCTGGAGAGGGCAGAGACCCACCGGATGAAGAGCGTGTGCTGAAGGGCAGAAAACCCCAGGCTAAGCCAAAGGTGGGAGGGCACAGGGCCCGTGTCCCAGCCTGATGCCAGTTTGGGGGCCGCCAGAAAGCCCCACAGCTGGCCACTCTGCAGAAGCAAGGGAAGACTGAGCAGGACCCCTCGCTGGCCCAGGGGCCCCTCCAGCACGGCCCAGAACTTGCCATGCATCGCTTCATCCAATCTCCCACAATCCTATCTTGTTCTCATTTTACAGCCAGGGAGCCCACGCCTCAGAGAAAAGTGGCCACCAAAGCTGGATCTCTGGCCCTGGTCTCCTGCAGCCTCAACCCCATCCTCACGGCCCCTTCAGCTGCCCATGTTGCCAGCGAGGCATCAGTCTTCTCACACCCCTCTATCAAGTGCTCCATGGCTCCCCACTGCCCTAGGGGAAAAGCTAGCCTCAAGGCCCTTGGTGAGGAACAGCCCCTTGTGCTTTCCACCCAGCACACCCTTCCTGGGGTATTTGGGGGAGGGGGTCCTACACTCCTGGTCCCAGTGCCCACCTCTCTGTCTCACTGATGAACTCATGGTCATCCTCCAGGATCCAGCCCCAGAGCTGCCAGCTCCTGGAAGCCTTCCCTGCCCACAGCTCATGTTGGTACCTTTCTCTCTTGGACTCCCACAGGCTGGAATGTCAGCCACTAAGCTCCTCCATCCTCCTCTTCCCAGAGTCAACCCAGTCCTGGGCCGGCAGTGACTTAACAGGCCCTGGGGAAGGGAACCTAAAGTGGGTATCAGACCACTCACTGATACAGAGTGCAGTTCTCTGGGAGCTGAGGATGGTGGCCTCGCCATGGCCCAGGGCCAGCCCTACCCCAGGGAGGCTCCCTGCTCCCTGCCCACTCAGCCCAACCCTCCGTCTCTTGTCCACCACCTTGACCATCCTCTGATTCCAGGTGAGGCTGACTCTGCCCAGCTGGTGAAGATCCGTGAGGCTGGCTGGGGTGTGCAGGGAGGGGGGAAGTTGAGGCAGAGACTGTCTAGGGAGCAGTGTCATCCTGACCTATTCCCTCACTTCCAGGGCAACCATCCATAGCTGCCCCAGCACCTAGGGGCCCAGCTCTGCCAGCTCCTCACGTGAGCGACCCAGTTCATCTTTTGGAGGCTCAGTTTCCCCATCTGGACAGTGGGGGTGAGTCACCCACCCTGCCTGCCCCCAAGGGCTGCACACAAGGCAGAGCTGTGACATTGACAGCAGGTGTTAGTGAAAGGTTTTGCTGCCCGGGCCAACCTGACCCTCCTGCCAGCCACACAGCCATGGACTATTGTGGGCTCCTCTCCTCCAGATGCGAGCACCAGCTCCAACCTCCTGAGACAAAAACAGGCCCCGACCCCTTTCCCCTGTTACTTCCTTCCATCCAATTCCTGCGAGGAACAGCATCTACAGGGCCAAGGAACGTGGACAGGCAAGTTAGTTCCAGTGAAAGCCCCCAGTGTTCTGAGCAGCAGTGACTGCCCAAAAGACCCTCCGCTGAACTTCCCTGGCCAGGGAGATGGAAGTGACCAGTCCCATCTTACTGATGCGATGGCCTCACCCTTGTCCCCTGCAGGAGTGGTGCACAGAGGTCCCCGCCAGCCCGTGCTGGGTGCAGCGTGTGGCCAGGCAAGGGTTGGCAGGTTCACTTGCCTGCTCCTTCTCCTTTCCTTTCTTTCCCTCCACAGTCCTGGGCCACCTCTCTCTGCAGGCGCTCTTTTGGGGCTGCTCAAAATAAACTTGGGGGCGGACCATCCCCCCCCCCACCGCACAACAGAGCGACGTCTGGGAGCTGAGGGAGAGAAGCAAAAATACCAGCAGGCCCAGGGGCAGGCCCAGCACAGAGCTCAGAGGCACAATGGCTGCCACTTGGAGCAGCTTTAAAAAGAACATTTTAAAAATACTTCCTCCTCCTCCTCATTTTTTCTTTAATTAATTTTTTTGAGGCTCCAGACAGTGGATGGCAAACTCACCCAGGGCTGGTGACAGAAGCCTCAAACAAAAGACTTCACAAGGCATAACTGATTCATGAGCATCTACTACATACCAAGCTTCTTAATAAACTTATGTCACGGGCCCGTGTCCCCATTTACAGCTGGAGACATGAGCTAAGGAAGACACAGGGCTCCTGGACTCACCTGGGGCCACCCTGCCAGTCAGCAGAACCAGGGTTGGAACCCAGACCCTGGGCAAGGGGCTTGACCTCTCTGAGCAGTAGCCTTCCAAGTGTGTGGGACAGGAGGAAGTGACACCTATGACAGTTCAGATCTACAATGCATCTCCAAAGTCTCATGAGCTCAGAGGTGGGGCTTTTGCAAGGTAATTGGGCCATGGTTTCATCCACTGATGAGTACATAACTGAATGAGCTATTAGGAGGTGGGGCTTGGTTGGAGGAGGGAGCACTGCAAGTGTGACCTGAGAGGGTCAATTCTTGTCCCGGTCTCCTCCCTCCTCTCTCTGCTTCCTGGCTGCCATGTGCTGAGCATCTTCCCTTCACCAGGCCCTTCCACCAGGCCACCTCTGCCTGGCAGCTGTCGACCCTGGATGGAACCCTCTGAAACCATGAGCCGCAATAAAGCTCTTGACCTTGAAGCAGTGGGTGTTGGACATTTTGCCTGTGATGGGCAAGTGACTAAGACAAGGCCGGCTTGGAGAGAGGTTGTGAGGGCGCAGGCTGGCACTCTGCATGTGTTAAGGAAGCGGCAGCCTATCCCTAAGAGGGAGTGGGCACATCGTCAGGTGAGGACATCAGAGTGGGCCCTAAGACTGGACAAGATCCTCTCCTGGCCGGGTGGGAGCCATGGGTAGGAGCGACTTCAGTACAATATGATGCCTGCTGTCCAGAGGGAAGAGGCTCCATCAGATTCTGGGTTCGAAGGCTTACTCAGGTGGGTGGTAGGACTGAGGAGGGGACCCTGAGGAGGCTTGGGCTGGGGAGCCTTGGGCTGCAGGGCACTGGGGGTGCTGTCCCAGCCATGGACACCTGGGAGAGGATGCAAGAAGGCAAGGATCAGCAGTGTGTTGGCAAACCAGCCTCTGAAAAACAGCCCTGATTTGTGTGACCTGCCAATTTCCATGGTGTAAATCCTTCCTCTGTGGCCAATTTCCAGCTGCCAGCTGTTTACCAGCCCCTTGCAAAATTCCTGAGTATGAGACAATTGGGGGTGTCTCTGGCTGGTTGCAGCACACACTAGCAGGGACGCGGCTCGGCCCTGGTGCGGCGGGCTCAGACACCCAAGCCAGTACCCAACAGCAGCTGCTTCCCTGGGCCCTTCTCCCCAGGTGCACACCCCCTAGGTCTGTGCTCCCTGGGAGGCCCAGGCCAGGAAGTCAGAGGCGAGGGAGCAGAGGGTCCGGGCCGCCTGTCTGCAGTTTCACCCATAGTGCACCTCCTGCAACCCTCCCCAGGGACCTTCTTAATTAAGCTGCGAAGTTTGGCAAACCAGCAGCTCCAACCAAAGTGTTGGTGGCAGCCCCAGGGGCCGCATTTGAGTAAATTGAACGGAGCCTGTGCTTGGAGAGCTAACGAACAGGGAAATGAGAGCATGGCCCCCACTGGGCAGGCACAGAGGGCCTGGCAGGAAAGCCAAGGGGACATGGAAATCCAAACCCTGCCTGGTATCAGTCATGCTACAGATGGAGGTGGCCTCAAACCGGGCCCCTGGCTGGCCGTGGGGCTGTGGATCAGTAACTCTTCTGATGCTGAGGCCACGTGAATGAGCTAAGCCCAGCTCCAGCCAGGAGCAGAAAGACAGACACCAGGTTGGGGTGGCCCGGCCTGGCCCCTCCATTCCCTCCCCGCGCCACCCCACCTGAGCCGGTGCCCCATGGCACTGGCCTGCTCGTGGTGCTCGATGCCCATGCTGACGGTGTTCACCAGGATGGCCATCATGATGCCCCGGTTGAAGTACTTGCTGTCCACGATGCCCCGCAGCTTGGCTCGAGTCTCCCGCCACACGTCCCCACACAGATGGGCAGCCTCATCCTCCTGTTCCTCCTCGTCCTCCTTCCCTAGGCCTGAGGAAACCCCATCCTCGCTGCTCCGGGGCCCGTCCCCGTCGGCCTCCGCCTCGTCACCACCTGAACCACCAGAGCCTGAGCCCTCCTGGCCAGAATCGGTGCTGCCTGGACCCGAGGGCCGCCGGCCGGTCCCATGCTGGCAGTGCGGGCAGCTGGTGGGGTCGGAGGACAGCATGGCAGAGATGGGCTGCACCAACGTGTGGGGTGTTGGGTCCAGGGGGCTATGTCTCAGGCACAGCTCTGAAAAGCAAACAGAGGCCAGTGTTGGCAGCCAAATCCACCCAACCCATCCCCAGGGGGTGACCCCATCCCTCTGGGCACAAGGTCAGCTTGAGCCACTGTGGGCCACCAGGTCTGATATTTCTGGGGAGGTGGCTTTTCTGGGCTTTTGTACTCGTGCAGAAGCAGGGCCAGGAGCACCCACTTGCCAGGCTACAGGAAAGAGCTCATTCCCCTTACTACCTGGGAGTCATCTGGGCTAGCCTTGGACTCCAGCTCTGTGATCTGGGAGCCATTTCGGGGGGTCAGGGAGGCCTCCCCAAACCAGGTGGTTTGGATCCTCCTTTGTGTTTCTCTATATTTGACTAGCACAAATTTGTTTTGCTTAAAAAAAAAGTAATATGAAAGGGAAAGAAAAGCTTTCATTGTCGTCAGACACCTTGCAGCCCCAGACACAGCTCTGGAGCCGGCATCAGGCCAAGGGTCCTCCTACCACAGACCCCGGAGGACAGGTCAAAGCCCTTCCCAGGACAAGGGGGACAGGAGGAGAATGGAGGCCTAGGGTGGGGCAAGACCTTCCTCTGGAAGCTCCTCGAAGTAAGCATCCTTCCTGCGTCTCCCATGGAGGCAGCGCCAGCCTTGCCCGATCCCTGATTGCTCATCCACGTGCCACACCAGCCCATGGACCACCTGGAGCCTCCTCCAAGGCCACACCACAATGGCTGGCATCAGATGACTCCCTAGGAAGGGTGTGGAGAGCAGGCTTTCCGGGAAGCCTGGGGCCACGTGCTGGTGGGTCCTGAGCCCCACTCCACAGAAGGGACAGAGGCCTGAAGAGGGGCCACTGTGTGCAAGAGGACAATGCCTGCGCCTACCAACTCCTTGCCAACATCTAGGAGGAAACGGGCTGGACCAGGCCCTTCTGGGGGCAGCTGGAGGCAGCCATTCCACGTGATGAGCTTTGTCATCTACACAGGTGCCACCTTAAATGACACCTTGTCTCCTTGGACCCTCATTTTCCCATCTCAAAACTGGAGAGGAGGGCTGGGGGTGAGCTTTGTGGTACAGCGTTTGTCTATCAGACGCAAGGTTCTATGCCCAGTACTAAACACACATACACACGATGGAAATTGGGCTGATGGTACATAGTCTGCCCTTCTCTATGACAGTTTCCTGAAACAAGAGTTAAGGAAAAGGGCAGCACTTTCTGCTAAGATATCCAGTATTCCAGCATGAGAAATGGCCTCCAGGCACGACAGAGCACAGGTGCAGGTGTCCCCAACATGCCACACCTTTGCAGGGCAGGCCAGGTGCCCCATGTCATCGCTCAAGCATGCTGATGAGCAGGGACAGCCACAGACACGGGACTTGGGTGACACATTCAGTCTTCCAAGACTGAGGACAGATCAGAGTTCACTTCTCACAAGGTGGCACCAGGGGCAGAGCCAGTGTTTGCACACATGGTGTTGGGAAGGAAGCTCTTCCAAGACCAGAGCTGAGTGCCCTCCCCCAGGGCTGGCCAGGCACCCCAGGCAGATGAAGGGGCTGGAGCAGAAGGGAGGCAGAAGCACTTGAGGCTGAAATGGAGACCTGCGAGTCTGAGCCCGATGGGTGCCTCTCTCATGCTGGGCAGGTGTTATTGGAGTCCCCAGGTGCCAGCGCTCCTGTAGGCCACTTACTGCAGTGCCTGGGCTCCTTGGCGTGGGGCCCGGGCTTGGAAGGGGCCGGTGCCCCTGGGCCCTGGGCCTGGCGCCTGCTCTGCAGGACCTGGTAGAGGCCCAGGGCACGGCGCTTGGCCTTGCGCAGGATGTGGCAGACGTACTGGAAGATCTCCTCGTAGCAGTCCCCGGGTTCGGCATAGCTGGCCACTGTGCTGGAGGACAGGTAACGCTGCCGCTGCTCCAGCATCAGCCGGTGCTCCCGCTGCTTGGTCTCCGAGAACTGGGTTGCTATGACAACGAGGCACAGGTTGATCATGAAGAAGGAGCCCACCTGTGACCAACGGGAGGAGAGGACAGGGACAAGGACAGGGACGGAGGGGACAGCCAGGTAGGAAAGGGGCCGGCAGGGTGACATGGGGAGAGGGGGACAGAGAGATGGAGAGACAGAGAGAGAGAGAGAAAGAGAGCGTCAGGGAGACCAAGAACCACAGATGGGAAGAGAGAGACGGAGATGGGAAGACGGGCAAAAACAGAGGATGAGGGACGGACATGTCAGAGACACAAAGCCAAGGGGCAGCCGGCACAGCAGAGGGGAAAGGACAGAGGGGACGTGAGAGAGAGCGGGACAGACTCAGAGAGGACAGAGCGGGGTCACAGGTGTGGAGCAGAGACAGGAGCAGAGAGAGCAGGGGGATAGAGAGGCCCAGAGACATGGAGAGGCACAGACACAGATGGGGACAGGAAAGATCTCTGAGGCCTTGCTCCTGGGGAAGGTGCAGCCCAGGTGGCTCCCTCAGGCCCCAAGGTAGGACCTCACTGCCACCCCATCTGAGACCCTGGCTCTGGGTGCCTCCAACCTGAGTTCTGGACTCTGGTCAGGCCTTGGCTTGATTCAGGCTTGAAGGGGCAGTAAGGACAGGCAATCTGTTACTGCTCAGGACCCTGTCCTGGGTATTTCCACCCTTCTCCCCATGCTGCTAGGGCACCCCGGGCAGGAGAGGACTTCCCAACTCTCCCAGCACCTGCTAAGCCTCTGAATGAGCTCAACTTCCTGGTCAGAGGGGACTGGCCTCTGTCCTCCTCCCGCCACCATCAGGAGGTGCTTACAGGTGGTGACCCTGGTCACTGATTTGTCCTTCCCTCCTTTTGCTGTCAGCATGATTCAGGGAGGAGATGGAGGATGCTTCCTGGTGCAGAGGATTCTGGGGAGATATCCTGCCTCTCCAATGAGAAGAAGCCCTGTAGTTCCTGGAGTGCTGCCCTACACCCTTTAGGAACGTGAGGACCCCAGGGCTGGGACCCTGCCCTCCTGGAGCTTACATGTTGGCTACCACCCATCCCTGCCTTGGCAGTGGCTGCCCTGGGTGACCCCTGTGGCCTGTTCCCTGGGATCTTGGGCCCAGATGAGCCTAGGACTTCCCTAATTAGAAGCAGCACTACTGATTCCATTTGGGGGCTGAGGACCCCTTGCCAGCTGTGCAGCTCAAGCCAGGCCCCTCACCTCTCTGGGGCTCTAGGTCTGGACAGGTGGCCCTGCACAGCCAGGACCCTAGGGTACACGGCAGCATGTTTGTTCAAAGCTGCTCTCTGCACCCCTCCCAGCACCAGGAAAAATCCACATCCCCAGCCACCTGCCAGCACCCTCTGTCCCAGGGCAGGGCCACTTGAGACCCACCCGAGCAGCAATCACAGCAGTAGAAATCTAGTAGGGTACTTGTGCTGAGCACTTCCTGTGTGCCAGGAATTTGCAGGCTTCTGACTGTCTCATCTAACCCTCCCCAGAGCCCAGGAGCTACGTGCTGCCACTGTCCGCATGTCACAGAGACCCTGGGACACCGAAGAGCCTGTCCGGGGTCACACCGTGTTAATGCCTCCAAGCCCACAGTTACATCCACCAAGAGGATCAGACGGAAACTTCCACGGCCCCTCTGGAATCCCAGATTCCTCCAGCAGGCCCAGGGCTGTGTGGTCCCCTGGGCAGAATCCTCCCCTTGCCCTCCTCCTCCCGGTGGGTGAGGGGCACCCTGGACCCCCTCAGCGTCCTTCTGTCGCAGGCTCCGTATGGTCACTGTCTGCTGGCAGCCACTATTTCCTTGGGCGGGGCAGGTCCCAAGCCTGCCTCCTACTCTGTCTCAGCCCTCAGCTCCTGAGGAGCAGGGAGTACACAGGGGAGTGGGCAGCAATTGGGAACAAAACCCGGGCTCCCTTCTCTCGTCTGGGTGTCTCCAAGCCCAAGGACAGCCCTGAGGCTAAGCCAACAGCAGGGTCATCTGGGGTCACCTGCCCGCTCTCCTGACCTCTCCAACTCAGGATGGGGCACTGCCCTGGGGGAACCAAGCATGTCCCACAGCACCCATCAGCAGGCATCCAGGACCGGCCTTGTGGCAGCAAGAAGTGAGCAGTAATCGTGCCCAGGGAATCACCTTGCCATTTGGGGGACGGCGCCATGGCTGAAGCTGCGGTCAGGTGCAACAAAGAGGATGCACTTGCTATGGAGACCTCGTGCTGGAAGGAACTGGAGGGTGGTGGGCCTGGCCCGGCCTCCGACTCCTGCTCCCCGCAGCAGAAGGAGCTACCACGGGGAATTTCAGGGAACTCCACCTCCTACCCACCTGCCCCAGGGACACAGGGACAAGGCTGAGCCCTTAAGAAGCCGAACCCCCCACCCAGCTAAGGTCACAGGAAGGATGTGCTCCCAGAGATAAGAGGCACAGAGAGATAAGGCGAGGGGTGGTGGGACCTAAACACCCAGAGATGAGAAACGAAGGCGGCAGAAGTGATGGACGCTCTGGGCAGCTGCCCCAACAAGCCCCTTCAATCAACGCCGTCCACCACATTTAAAACCAGCTCTTCTGGCTGCCTCCTGCCGGCTCTCCCAGCTCTAAGGGTCCCTGGGGGCTCCCAAGACCCTCCCCCACCGTCCCCTGGTCTTCGGCCCAGAGCCGGCCCGAGAGCCCCAGCTCCTTGACACTTACGATGATAAGCAGGATAAAATAGATGAAGTTATAGAAGGAGTGTGCGTCCATCACGTAGTACATGATCTCCACCCAGCCTTCCAGAGTGATTACCTGCAGCCAGCACAGAAGACGGGGCCAGCCTGAGACGGGCCAGGCAGGCAGCCAGGCCCACACCCTACACTGAGGCCGAATGCGTGCTGGGACACAAGACACACATCCCACGAGGGCTGGAGGGGCAGCTGCCCTCATCCCCGCCATGCAGGTGAGGAACAGGTTCAGAAAGGTGAAGGCACTCCCTGAAGGTCACACAGCAGGCAAGAGTGGACCCACGACCAGAACCCTGGTCCCCCAGACTCAGAGCCCGCCCTGTTTCCTGGCTATCACACTTAGGCACGATGGGGTGCAGATGCAGGGTGGGGGCTCCAGCTCTGGCTCACTTCCTGGGCTGCCCACCCACCCTGGGCCTCACTTCCTCTCCAGTCCTTAGGGTCAACAGAGCACCCCTGGCAGGGCTGGGGTGCAACTCAGAGCCTGGGAGTATGGAGCGCAAGAAGCTGACTGACAGCCTCCTCCGCCCCCGCTGACCCCTTCCTTCCCAGAGAGGGAGACAGAGCGGCCTCAAGAAAACCAGTGCTTGGGCGTCCCCAGCCCTGTCTGGTTTGTTGGAACCCCGAGCAGCACCCCCGCTCTTGGGCCAAAATGGAGGCACAGCGGTGCCTGCGAGGTGAAACATCTTTCCCATTGACCAGACTAGCAGGTCTCTTCGGTCACCTTCCTCCCCATGCCCGTCCATGAGGTACCACCTTGCCTTGGCTGCTCCAACACAGCCTCCCCGCTGGCACCTCTGCCTCCAGGTAATCTGGGACTCTGCAGGGAACACAGGCTTCGCGGTCAGCGCATGCAGGGATAAAACCCTGGTTCTGCCATCCGCTAGCCATACAGTCCTGGGCCAACTGCAGTGCCTTCTCTCTCTAACCTCAGACTCTCTACCTGTAAAATGGGTACCATGGTGCCTATCGTGCCAGCAAGCCAGGCCGATTTCAGTGAGGTGGGGTGGCAAACACCCAGCACAGGGCCCAGCCTGCCTGGAGGGGCTGCCTGAGTGGCCTCACCTGGAAGATGACGATCCAGGCGTACCCAATGTTGTCAAAGTTGATGGCGCCCTTGTGGGGGTTGGCACTGCCTGTCCGGCACACGTTGTAGTAGCGGTTCCAGTTGACACAGAGGCCACTGGCATTGAGGTCCTGGCGCCCCGGTCCAAAGTCATAGATGTCATCCTTAGACAGGCAGCACTCTCGGCCCTGCTCCTTGAGTGGGGGGATCTCATGGCAGCCCATGATGCCATTGTCACCCGACAGGGAGCAGATGAAGGGCATCTCATCATCCTCCTCCGGCTGGTAATAGGGTGGCAGGGCCATATCCCCTTGTCTGTCCACAGGTGAGGAGGGGTGAAAGAGGGGAAGGGACAGGTCACTGCCAGGAAGACCAGGAAAAGAGAGGCCACGCCATGGCAGGAATGGCCCAACAGGTCTGGGCACATGCTGTGCCCCTTTTCCTCCTCTGTTATGCTCATGAAAACCCTCACAGGCCCACTGTGATCACTTTCCGGGGTGCCGTCTTCTGAGAACATTCTCTAGGGGACCCTCACCAGCATCCAACAGGGCTGATTGTGGGTTCTCCAGGACCACACTGTGCCCCATGCACTTCCATTCTTGTGTCCTGGGGCAAACACAGCCACCTCCCTGGCCCCGGCCCCACCTGTTGCGTGGTCAGCACAGAGCAGGGCTCAGTAAGCAAACAATGGGTTGTACTGATCCAGGGCCCAAGGGTGAGGGCCTGTCTGCCCCACCACTTCCTGTGTAGGTGACCCTGGGCTGGGCACTTCTGCTTGCTGGACTTGGGTTCCCTCATCTGCACAATGGAGGTGGCAATCATGACCCTGCTCACATAGGCTTAATCTGGGCTTCACTATCCCAATCAAAACCCCAACAAGATTTTTGTCTCTGGAACCTGCTAGATGGTTCAAGGATTTATCTGCATGGGAGACTGATCAAGGCATATTTTTAAAGGCAGCAAGATGAATGGAAACCAAGGCAAAATACTGGACAACTACAATTATGGTTACCATTGTAATAGCACCTGAAAGATGAATGGGACACCACAGAGCTCAGAGACAAACCCATGTATAAAGGCAAAGGTAGCAATTTGATCATCCACACCCATTGGAATGGCCAACTTTTCAGGAATGATTGATCAGAGTGTGGGGAAGGATGAGGAGAAACAGTCACAGGCACTGCTGGTGCAGTTGTATCCTGTACAACTCTTGCAGAGGACAAACTGGCAACACTCAGTGGTTCCACCTCCTGCCTCGAAAGCACAAGGGCCTGAGTTCAATCCCCAGTACCCCCCAAAAAAAAAATCACACCCAACCCAAGTATGCAAGGTCACCACATCTAACAAAGGCACCGTGGCAATGCCATGGAGAAAGGATGGACTTTTCAACAAATGGCCCTGGGACAAGTGAATATTCACTAAATAAATAAATAAGGCATGGACACACCCCCATCCTGGCCAACCACAGTCCATACTCGAAGTTATTTGAGACAGAAGAGACCCACACGGCAAAGATAAAACAAGAAAACTTCTCAAAGAAAGCAGTGGAGAACACTTTCAAGACAGGAGATTTCTGAAACCAGGCACACAATACAATGCTTAAAAAAGATATGATCAACTGAACTGCATTCTTGTTTTTGGTTGTTTTGAGGGGTTGTCCATGGTCTTGGAAACTGAACCCAGAACCTTCACACTGAGCTACATTCCAAGCCCTTGTTCTTTTTTATTTTGAGACAGGGGCTCACTAAGTCACTAAGTTACCCAGGCTGGGCTTGGGTTTGCGATCCTCCTGAGTTGGCCTCCCAGAGTGCTGGGACTACAGGCATGTACCACCATGTTTGGTTTGAACTTCATCTTGCAGTCGGAGTCTGTTCACCAAAAGACACCAACAGGGAGTGAGAAGCAGTTCCTTCACTTTGGTTTCTTCGAGCAAATGCACTGAGTAAATATGCTGCTGCTTCTTTATCCAACCTTTTTTTTTTTTTTTTTTTTTTTTTTTTTT